AATTTTTTTATTTAAAAAGAAAAAAATGGGTAAAACATGCTTGAGGAAAACTGTTTTTCTAACATTTGGTTTGAAACCAACAAGGAAACATATTTTAAGTCAAGGATATTACATGAAGATGAGCTCATGTTTTTGGGAATCCCATATTAGATGGTCTATCTACGTGTTGGTTTGAATGAGCATATATGTACGTAGGGGTCTTGTATAACTCAACACGTGTGGTGCAGAGGAAAGGGATTCAGCTGTTGATCAGCTAGCTCTAGAGCTACCATGATATTTTTTTACAAGGTATTGATTTGTGTCTGATATTTTTTAACCGACTTCCAAATAAACTAGCTAAATTGAATAGGTTAAATACCTTTTTGGTCCCTCTACTATAGGAAAAAGCCTCTTTTTAATCCTTATACCGAAAAAATCCTCTTTTTGATCCTTATTGTTCACAAATCCGGCCCCATTTTGGTCCCTCCGTTAAATTTTGGCTTAAGCTGAGGGTTTCACGAACCAAACATAGACTTTGTGAAAGAAGACAAGCAACGAATAGGCAACTAGATCTAGGTTCGTTCGAACCCCAAATTGCTGGGTTTTGAGAAAGTTAAATCTGGGTTCGTTCAAACCCCAGATTACTGGGTTTTGAAACCCAAATCTCTAGGTTCTCCTCTCTCTTTTTTTTTTTTTTTGTTATATATTTGTTGTGAATGAGCAATTGAGTTTATGCAAATTGCAGGTTATGTGAAATTTTTGGAATCCTTTTGCTTCATATTTCCTAATTATTGTCAAAATGATTTTAATGTTTAAAATGGAAAGAACATTGCCGGTGATGGAAAGAACAGAAGCAACGACAGATGGGCAAAAAAGTAATTTTCATTGGGTTTCATTTGCTTGGCTAGAAAATTGTACAGTTTGGGTGTTTGGATGCTGAGAAAATGGTTTCAATTAGTGTTTTGGAATTAGTATTGTATTAATAGGTGTTTGGTTGCCAAGAAAATTATCATGATTGTTAAGAAAATTTGTCAAAAAAATTGTGATTTAATTAAAAATTAATTGGAATCTTAATTTTGATTAAAATAAGTAATTACAATTTAATGAATGAATTAAAAGGTAAGATCCATAGTCTAGTTGAGAAGTCTAATGATTGGTGATTGAAATCTGACATGGTATAACTTTTTATCCATATAAGTGTCTTCTTCTAACTTAATTTGCCACATCATTAAAAAAATATAAAAATATATAAAAAATACCACATGGACAGAGTTAATGGCTCAAACTAACAGAATGACCAAAATTGTGCAACTCTTAAAGTTGAGGAATAAAAAAAGTGCAAAAAATAGTTGATGGACCAAAAAAATAGAACTCTATAAAGTTAAGAGATCAAAATTAGTATTTAACCAAAAAAATCCCACTCCTCCAGATTCCTCATGTTCCAAAAAAAAAAATCCATCGAATCTATTTTAATTCTTAGTACGTTATTTATTACTAGTGATAACAATGTGGAAAAAATCAAGAACGAATATGTGGGTCTGAAAACAGCAGATACAGCACCCGCAGCACAAGCTAGATAAAGTAAAATTAGATATTTTTTTATTTTAAAAAAATGGCAAAACCATATTTTTAATCATTTACTTTACTTGATTTGTAGGTTTTAATCTATCATATTTTATTATGATACTTTTAACCCCTGACCTATTAAAATTAAAGAAAGTAACTCTTATTTTATAATATTTTGTTAATTATGTTAACTGATTATTAACTCTATTAGTTGACTATTAATTCTATTAGTTAAAAGTAGATTTTTATCAGTTAATAATTAACTAACAGTCAACTAATAAGGTTAACAAACAACTAACAAAATAGTTATGTTAACTGACTGTTAATTCTATTAACTGAAAGTAGATTTTTGTCAACTAACAGTCAAATAATAATCAACTAATAGAGTTAACAGTCAACTAACAGAACTAACAAAATATTATAAGTGAGATTTATTTTTTTTAATTCTAATAGGTGAGGAACTAAAAGTAACATAATATAAGGTGATTAGATAAAACTTATCAATCTAATAAAATAAAGGCCTAAAACTATGCTTTTGCCTTAAAAAAATGCTAAAATTAGGTAATGAAATATGTACGGAATATGATATGATCTCGCCCATAACTAATAAATTAACTAAAATGTTATTATTAAATTATTTAAGTTATTGATAAATATTAAAGATTAAATTTTAAATTTTTAATTAAAAATATAAATGATTTTATTAATATATCACATGGTTGATTGTGTTATTGTATACTTTAAGTATAAGAAAATATTC